TCAGGGCTGGCATTAACCTTTATGCTTTCTGCTTAACGTTACGCTTTACAAAAAAATCCAAACACATCACATACATAACATATATAAATACAACTTCATATACATTTATCACCTCCAACATAAGCAGCAGATAATTTTTCTGAAAAAAAGAAAAATCAAACCTGTTTTTCTCTTCTATCACCTTTAACCTCAGAACGTTGATCAAATACATTTTAAATGGAAGCTTTCCCTTCGCCCAAACAGCAATACAAGTCTGGAGAGTAGTGCTAAGCTGTAAATAATCGCAAGGCAATGGAGTGACAGCAGCAAGCACTGCGTGTCCCACTGCTGCTAGCACGGGCTCCCTGGTGAAGGAATGAAGTTCTCTTTATGGGCGAGAAACGTATTTTCATTTCTGCCTTTATAAGTAATTTCCTAACACTTATTTTGGGCTTTACTGATTACTTAATTTTAAAAGAAGTTTGTGTTTCCTCAGCTAAATAATTCCTTGGAAAAAGAAAGCCCTGTGCAGGGCAGTTTGAATGTGCAAGGCTGAACTGTGATTATATATAAACAAAAATATAACATGTAATGATGGTTGTGTGGAAAACTCCCTTGGAACTCGCCCACTCCTCCTTCAAACCCCTTAGTAAGATACAGCCCCCATGGCAGGGTGTGCAATTTATGACGGCAAGGAGTAAGGGAAAGATAAAATTTCCACTTCAGCCATCTTTCACCGTTACTGTTTTTAATTGTTTTGACAGGGCACATTAAAAAAAAAAATTCTCCTTTTTACCCTCGCTGTTGTTTTATACCTTCCTTAGATAGTGGGACCTCTGAGCTAAAAACCACAGCACGCACATTATACAGCACCAAACTTACAGCAAATCTGAACACAACAGAGACCTGTGGAGAGTCTCCAATAAAAACACACATACATCCCCTTTTACACTGTAAGAGTTACTTAGTTTCTTGATGAGAAAATTCTCATTAAGCAGAAACAAATACCATTTATGGCTCAACCCTCGGAAGCCTGCATAGCGCCCACCAAACTGAGAGCAAATATTTTGCATTAACCTACTCTGATTCTCAAACATGTATATGCTGAGAAAGCACAGCATTTTTTTCTATTATATTCATACAGGGTATAACTGGGCTGCAGTACTGCGCCTCTGTGGAAAGGCACAGAGGAGCCAGAGAGGGTTAGGACTATGTTTCAGCAAAGCGAATTTTACCTTGGAGTGAAGGGAGAAGCAGGAAGACGATGAGCTTTCGGGTGCTCCCCTTTGGTGGCGAGCTCTTAGCAGTATCGCAAAGACACACAATCAGCTTTTATGGGAAAACAGCCACCGAACCCAAACTCGCTTTAGTTGTTGCCACATCAAGATAGCAAATTTTCTGTTTAAAGGCAGAAATCTTTCTTCTTTGCCTACACAGGAGCTGTGCTTAACAAGAGCAATACTGAAAACTGAGAAAATCCAACTGTGGCATTGTGCAGTAATTGCACAGTAATAAAGACACAGCATAAAGTGAAAATTTAACCAGTCTATCCAGATGCTGTCATCTGGCATTCACTCTGGGTCTCCACATTTTAACTTTTACTTGAAAATTACAGTGAAGTTTTGTTTAAAAAAAAAATTCAGTAGTGAACACTGTCCCTTTCTAAAAGAAATATTTAATTTTTACTATTTTTAATGCTTAATATTTTTCTTCTAAAGCTTTAGAGAAACAGTATTATGAATATACTGTTTCTGCAAGGCAACCCCGCTCCTCCAAACACTTACACAACAGGGCTCCAATTTCACTTAAAGTGTTTGCAAGATTAAGACCCTAAAAGCCAAGGGTGCTAACATAATACACTTATTTTACAAAACTAGAGAGAGAGAAATCTTGTACAGATGGAAGAAAGCTTCCTCAAAATACAACCCCAACCTCCTTTTACTTCAAAATAAATATATTCACATTATTTTCAAAGGTAAGTTGTGACAACCTTGTTGATTAGTGCAATTCATGTGGCAGCGTTCACTTTTCTCTAGCTCTCTACTGCATACTGAAAATAAGGCAATTAAATAAGAAAATTAATTCCATTAATTAAAAATGTTCAGTCTCAAGCAAGACAGAATGATCTGAGTGAGAATTACAGCTGTATAAATGTACATACACCAAAATGTTTTCCTCGACATGTACTTTCCCTTAGGAAGGATAAATTTTTGCAGCACAAACCAATGATAATGCTATTTTACTAGCATCGTAAGGCTGCAGAGAGATATGGAAAGGTCTATTTTATCTTTTAAAGAGAAAACCCCTGATGTATATAGGAAAATTTACAAGTAAAATACCCCCCCTTCCTACAAATTCCTTACTGGTGAGCCTGAGTGAAAACTCTGGTCAAGTCAGGAAAGAAAATCATTAAAGTTAGCTGAATCCATAAAGCACCGTAGCTGGAGTTTCAATACAGATCATTTTATAGTAAAATTAAAATAGAAGCCCTTTTTAATTATATAAAGGGTGCACATTATTACCGAAGAGAGGAATACATGCTTTCCTCAAGAACCATAAAATTGGCTGCTGGGAATTAGACTTCAGCTGCAATTATTATATGGTCCTATAAAGGATATTGAAAGTCTGATAAAATTGCACCCTTGTCATGTAACAGTGATGCTTAATGCTAAATAACCACTCTGCAGCATTCCAGTCATAGCTTTTTCAAAACATCATAGCTCACTTCTCACACTGAAAACATAGCAGGATTTTAGAGCTAAAAGTATACCTAAATATTTGAAATACCAAATGGACAGGTCAAAAGATATGTAAAGCCACACAGTGGCAAAACAACACGTGATAAATGAATACTGATGGTCTTTTATACAGGAAAGTCCTCAGTGGATGCATACCCAACGTAAAAGACTACATACGACAAGAAGAAAATAAAAACCCAATACAATGAAGCAAGCCCCTAACTGCATGCGCCTAACTCAGCCCTACCACGTCATGACAAATACCAGTGCCATACATTCCTAATGGCTGTTTTCCTTTTTGTTGCAGTATGTGTTGTGAACAGTGAGTATTTGTTATGCCTGCATACAGCTACAGGAGACTGGCTGGGTTTCTGCTGGGGAACCTGGAATTTGCTTTTAGCAACATCAGAATGCTCCTTGTGTGCCTCCCAGGCCCGCAGATAGAGCATGGGACTAAAACCTGTAGATATTTCTAATCCCACAGACTCCATAGCACTCACAAGTTAGCAAGGCCAAAATTTTTACATGTAGTAAGAATATCAAAGAAATATTTTTCTGACGTGTAACAGAAGACGCACAGGGGAAGGCTGGACAAGGAGGTGTAAATTTTGCTCTTGCAAATTAAGGAAAGGAGAAACTTCTTTCTCCTACAAAGAAGTACTGACGAAGTCCCTCACAATTTAGATCCTACAGCATAGGTGGGGTATGACCAACCTTCTCTGTAAGGCTTCAGGCTGACTCTGCTGTTCAAATCCGAGCACCTGTGGTAATGCCAGGCTTTAGAAAAAAGCCTCGGCACACAAGAGCATGAAAAGGATCCCACACAGCTCTTGTTTGACACGACTACTTGGTTGTGAAAAACCCCCAGACCATTAGAAATCAAACCTACTCGCCTCCCGAATTACGGTGGGGAACAAGCACGCTGGGCTGCGTTAGTATGGAAATGGAGGGGCTACAGCTTCTCTCCTCAGCATCAAATGGTGGCCTTGCAGACTGCATGTGTGTTGGGTACTTTTTCATGGAGGGGTTTCCTTTACAGAACAGAGCTTGAGAGCCCATGCCCACGCTGCTCGTGGCAGCGCAAAGTGCCCGCACCCTGTAAGCAATAGGCAGGGGCCTCTCCAAGTCACCCGCCTCTTCCCACACATGGGCAGACATGCAAAGGAAGCTCTTCACCCGTGGAACATTACTAAGGCTATGAGCAGGAAACAAATAAACGAAAACTTACAAATCATAGCTGATTAACCTAAAAAATAACATTTCTGAGGCAATTGTGGTCTAGGATGGGCATGGCAAGTCCCTGCATCTCTCTACATACGCTGCACTTACACAGCAGGAACCGGCCACTAGGCACTACTCAACTATAGATGTGAAAGCATAAAAAAATATGTATGTTAGCACTGACTAAACACTGACCTTTTAACCAGTTAAGCTGTAAACAAAACATTAAAAAAAAATTTTTATTTGAAACGTGCATGAAAAGTGGTTCTTAAAAGGTAAAGCAAGTAAAGACTAGGGTGTACTTTGCATTGAGGCCTTAAAGCTCTGAGAAGTATTGATTATACCTCAAAACCTCTCTTGAGGTAAATATTTTGAATGCTATATATAATGTCATTGTTTTATAAAAGTATGTAATCATACACACACACTGTCATGTGCCAACAGCTCAGTCAGGCCAAGATTTGGAAGTAGAGACTTGGACTCGTAAGTCCCTCTCATCTTTGGGTACAACTGCAAAACGAAAAATCTGTTCAGTCAGTATTTATCAACCTTTGGGGAGAACAAAAAAATCAACTCCCCAAATGTAAAAAGAAATGAACTGGAAACTTCTGATGCCAATAAAAGGGAAAGTTGAAAACACACACAATAAAGGCCTTGGAATAAAATTTATGATCACACTTTACACTGAAGTGAAATTTGGTAGTGAAATTTTCTCTGTCCTTTAAAAGTACAAATATTGCTGCTTCTTGATGAAGCTTCAAGATGTGCCTTTTTTGTTAAAAATGTCTGAACCCTCTAATAAACAAATTACTGAGAATCACACAATATTGTAATAACAGAAAATGCTTCATGCAAACATTAAAATGTAAATGCAACGAACAGTTTTAAAAGAAGTCATGAAATGTGCCTTAGTTCTTTCCATTAGAAATAATACTGGAGCGTATCAGTTTCAGGATAAAATCATTGCTCATATTTACCTTATCAAAGGTAGGGAAAATGCCCAGTAGCATTCACACGAACATAAGCCATCAGTTTTTCAGAATAAAGAAATAATTTGCTTACCTGGAACATCAATTAATCTCTTATAAACATTCAAGAAGGCTGCCTCTGCTTCTTTGCTTCTTTTACCCAATGCGTCAATCTAAAAGGGACGATGAGGGAAAGAAGACTTAGACTTGTTCCAATACAACTCTTACACTCAGAGCTATAAACATAAATGAATATATTTAATATAAAACTAGTTAATACATAAAAAGGGAACTCTGGTCTCCTGTGTACAGCTCCTATAGAAGCCTTGTAAGAGCATTTCTGGTACAGTTGTACTGAATATAATTTAAAGTCCTGTTTCAGCACAATAGCAAGCATCAATATTTTTATGAACACCTCTGCCTATTGTGATTCTTTACTTTAAATCTCTATAAAAAGCATGGTATTTGCCAGACAGGTTCTCTCCTCAACAACTGTTTTCCTTTACCACTTATTAAGATCTAATAAGACAAATGGGAACCACGTACACTTCTGATGTCACACTCCGCCTTTATTGTGGCAAATACATTTTTCTGTTATTTCCACTAAGCCTATGAGAGGATGAAAAGATGTACTTGTTGGGTACCCTGTGATACTTAACACTAAACAACTGTGGGTCTTCTACATGCAGATAAGTTTTCTAACAAAGCTCCGGCACAGATCCGCAGAGTCTATCCTGCCTTGCAGCCATGAGCTCAAGCCATGCACCTCTCCATATTTTGTAACATGCAATGCTAATCTAAGCAGCTCTCTGCCCAGGTGAGGGACAATACTACCTCACACAATCTGTTATTTTCCTCTAAGTCTGTATTTTCATCTAAAACTTCATTTTAAAAGGAAATGCAGCGTTATGGCTCTGAGACTAAAATACTTAGCCCATAACAACTTTTTTTGGTAAGCACGTACTTTCCTAATGTACCAGAAAACAGGGGACTTACAACTCCTGAATACTGATAAAACCCAACCAAGCCAGCCCAAGACCAGGTCCACGGAATTAATACTCCAAAGCAGAAAGAAAGGGAGACAGGAAAGCCTGACACAGTTCTGCAGCAGCTTACCAAAATCAGGAAACTAAAAAGTATGGAGATTATCGTTCCCTTGTTTTAATAAAAAGCAAGAAAGGATCTGAAGAACTATGGATACAAAGGCCTGATACCAATTCTTCCAAGTATCTGAAAAGCAGTGAATATTATGAAACCATTTAACATCAACATGTACTAAAAAAGGAAGGTCCTGTCTGAAAAACGTCCTTGAATTCTTTCACTACATTATTGATTTGGTAGGTAAGGCAGAAACAATGGACAGAGCTTACTGTATCTGTATTTCAGGAAAGTATCTGATATTTTATTACATGGGAGGGGGATTTGCAGAATTAGAAAGTGTGCTACAAACTGGCCAGGCTGCGGTGGCTTTGCAGAGCGCCGGGGCGCAGGAAGCCGAGGGTGCCAGGGAAGGAAGCGGTGCAGGGAGGAGGAGAGATAAGCAGGAGGGTGCTGCGGGGTCAGATTTGGTGCCACTTCTGTTTACTTTGTACAAAAATGACTTTGCGAAGGGAAGGATTTGGGGGGGGGTGGGGAATCCTACAACGCAGATGATTAAAATAATGGAGGGAGTCAGGCACAAAGTGCACAGGAGCAGAGCACAGGAACGCCACGTGACTCGTGTAGATTAGTCTTATGGCTGATAAGTGACTTGTAGAGATCATTACGGAGAGGATTAAGGCCAGCAAAGCAAAGGACAAGGACAATTGTAGAAATTACACAGAAGCACAATGCACAACGTATAAACCAAGAAAAGACTCGAGAGGAGGGGTCAAGGGGGAAAATAAGGACACTGAAAGCATCTGCACAGCGTTTGGCAGCAGAAATGAAATCTTGAGATACGGCGAGAGGTTGCAAAGAGACACGTTATTGTAACACAAGACAAGACTGTATTCAGAGAAACAAACCAAATTCCTGTTTCGCTTACATCCCCCCAAATCTGGATTAATTTATGTAGCTTGGTGGAGGCGTAGCATAACCAAAACCTGACCTATTTGCAACTTATTCTTACTGACTTGAAAAAAAAAAAAGGTATTGGAAAGATGACAAACAAGCAGCAGAGGCCAAAATGATGGAGGACGTGGGGGGCGGATACAAATTATCAAGAAATGCTGGCCATACTTGTCTTTTAGAGTCTACCAAGAAAGGCTACGAAAAGCACTGGAATCTCACAGGGCATATGACGTGCTGGAGAGCAAGGGATTGATGGTTGAGAATAACCCATTTATTAATTTGAATTCAAGCAATCACAGATGGACTGATGCTCATTAGGGAATGAGAACATAAGTAATTCGGTTAGAACGTTTTCACACAAAGAGTATTTGAAATTAGAATATGGAACAAACTGCCAAAGGCAGAGAGGCACCGGGTAGTGTAAATCAATGCTTGAGAGTATCAGACACCGCTTGTGAAGGGGAGAGAAAGGAGGGGGCAGCCATCAGAAAGACTTTTGCAGTTGAGACATTTCATGGGTACATAAAAACAGACTTTGAAGGCCAAAGCACACCATATGTTCAACTTCTGGACTTTAACGTTCCCCCGTACAATTTTCTCTCGCTGCTGTTCAGCAGAGTACAGCCAAATTTAAATTACTATTATTAAATACAATTAGCATTACAGAACTGATTCTGTACTGTATTTTGAAAAATTCATTTGCCCCTGTTATGAAAACCAAAGCATTTAAAATGATTGCATTTCTGTGAAATAACAGGATGGATTTGTTTTCCTATTACATTTTTTTCACATTTTAATAAAGGGCATTAGAATCATAGAATCATAGAATGTTTTGGGTTGGAAGGGACCCCTAGAGGTCATCTAGTCCAACCCCCCTGCAGGAGCAGGGACACTGCTAACTAGATCAGGTTGCTCAGAGCCCCGTCCAACCTGGC